GATCAGCTTAATCTGATAGATGAAAAAAGACTGAAAGCCATTCATCATGGTCAAATCTATCAGAAACGAATGATCCGAGCACACGACAAAAAGGTGCGCCCGAGAATATTCCGTGAAGGGGATCTAGTGCTAAAAAGAATTTGGCCAGTCCAGAAAGATTTCCGAGGAAAATGGACGCCAAATTGGGAAGGACCTTATGTCGTGAAGAAGGCTTTCTCCGGAGGAGCCCTTATCCTGGCTGAAATGGACGGACCTGAGCTGTCACATCCCATTAACTCGGACGCCGTCAAGAAATACTTCGCTTAGGATGAAAACCCGAGAGGGCGTCCTAAGTTGGAAAAAAAAAAAAAAAAAACGTTTAGGGTGAAAACCCGAAAGGGCACCCTAAATTGAAAAAGAAAAAAGAGAAAAAAGAAGAGAAAATAAGGTGGGTTCAAGATGAAAACCCGCAAAGGGCATCTTGCAACTAAGGATGGGTCCAAGTTGAAAACCCGGAAAGGGCGATTTGGATATCAACGGTGGAAACATCCCGGCACATGAATCTTCTACGAACTCAACAAATCAGAGAAATGTTGCACCCTCCCAAACGTTGTCGCATTTTCAAAGATCCTTTGGCAAAGGTTGCATTCAAAGTCACCAAACGGCTTTTCAACTCAGAAGTGCCCACGTTATCGAGATCTAAGACATTCATTTACACATCATTGTGTATTCATTTTCTAGAATGTTTGCCATGTATTATTTGTTCTTCTCCTCCCTTATGAATAAAGACCATCTTTCCTCCAATTCCTTTTGAGCATCTTGAATTAGATTTAAACCTAATGGTTTATTTATTGTTATGAAAGATAATCGCATATTACTGTACAAAGATTCATTGAAAAGTACAGGTACCCAGAAGCCGATCAAGGCTCATACACATGCTTGAGATGGTTGAGGAGCATCTTCAAAAAAAAAAAAAAAATCGTCAAACATTTGAAGAATTCAAGATCAGAGATCGGAACTTCAAGCTCAAGAGTCAACAACGACAGGCCACCGGAGATCGAGATTACTCTCCAGAGCCCAGAATAACATATGTTGCATATGCATTTTAGGCATACCTAAGAGCATGACATCCATAACATCACATATATGCATATCTTTGCAGGTTTTACCCAGAGCCAATTTCAACTTCACAACGAAGGATATTGGACTCCAGACAACGTAAGTTCAACTTCACGACGAAGGGACCGCTGGTTGTCAACAAACATTTCTCCAATTCAGAGCCAATTTCAACTTCACAACGAAGGATATTGGACTCCAGACAACGTAAGTTCAACTTCACGACGAAGGGACCGCTGGTTGTCAACAAACATTTCTCAAATTTCAGAGCCAATTTCAACTTCACAACGAAGGATATTGGACTCCAGACAACGCAAGTTCAACTTCGCGACGAAGGGACCGCTGGTTGTCAACAAACATTTCCCAATCTCAGAGCCAATTTCAACTTCACAACGAAGGATATTGGATTCCAGACAATGCAAGTTCAACTTCATGACGAAGGGACCGCTGCTTGTCAACAACAACTTTCCAATCTCAGAGCCAATTCCAACTTCACAACGAAGGATATTGGACTCCAGACAACGCAAGTTCAACTTCACGACGAAGGGACCGCTGGTTGTCAACAAACATTTCTCAAATTCAGAGCCAATTTCAACTTCACAACGAAGGATATTGGACTCCAGACAACGCAAGTTCAACTTCACGACGAAGGGACCGCTGGTTGTCACCAAACATTTCTCTAATTCAGAGCCAATTTCAACTTCACAACGAAGGATATTGGACTCCAGACAACGCAAGTTCAACTTCACGACGAAGGGACCGCTGGTTGTCAACAAACATTTCTCAAATTCAGAGCCAATTTCAACTTCACAACGAAGGATATTGGACTCCAGACAACGCAAGTTCAACTTCACGACGAAGGGACCGCTGGTTGTCAACAAACATGTCTCAAATTCAGAACCAATTTCAACTTCACGGCGGAGGATATTGGACTCGGAACAATACAACTTACTTGGATTTCAACTTCACAACGAAGGATATCCAATTCCAGGCTCAACTTCACAACAAATGGTATCGTACCCTAACATATTGACCCAACTTCACGACAAAGGGGTCATCTGTAACATCACAACACCAAAGTCTTCAGGTCAAGTTCCACCTTCACAACGAAGTATCTTGAGCCAGAAGACGATTCAGAGGCCACTTGTCAAAAGCTTTGAGCTCGTTTTCAACTTCGCGACGAAGGATTTCGTGCTCAGAATTTTCCAATTTTGGCTCAACCTCCCGACGAGGGAGTAATTGTGTGATTTAGTCCAATGATCGGATTTCAACTCTACAGCAGGGGATATTCGATGGAATTTGACCCCTATGTGGATGACATGTTTGTGGCAAACGAAAAGTGTGTCTTTTAATCTTTGCCATATCCCCGTTACACGACTATGGGCAAAGAGGGGCAGCTGTAGACACACTTTTTTGACCGGAACATACATGTATACATATTATATATATTATATATGTAATATTATTATTTATTAATGAATATATATATATTTTGACATTTACAGGCTCAATACATCAACATCCCAGCAGCCCGTTTGGCAGACCCAAATTCACGTGTGCGGCCCAGCAACAGCTTCCAAGCTAAACCCGTGCAGACTCAGGGTTGCCAGAAACCCTAACCCCACCTCGTCCAAGCCAGCGCCGCAAGCTTCCCTCGCCTAAGATAACACCTCCCTCATTTCACGGAGCCAACATCAACAACACCAATGAACGTGTTTTAGTAGGATTCCATCACCAACAAACAAAAGTAGTAGAGTTTGATTAGGACACAAAGATGTCATTTTTTTGTGTATAAATATCAGACGATGTAGGAGGGGGGATGGGCATGACGAGACCAGAAAAAGCTCAAAAGGAATCACACGAAAATCTCAGAGAAAATAGCAAGAAACATTTGTATTTTTTTTTTGAGAAGGGGGATTTTGATCAATAAAAAAGCACAGCAAGAAGGGAATTTTTCAGCAATCTGAATCCAAAACCGAAAGCAAGTATTCAAGGTATTCTAGTCGTTTTTTTTATGCTTTGTTTTCTGATCCAATTCTTGGAATGTAATTAGAAGCAGAATGTAGTTCATATTTTCGTTCTTCAATCGATGCTAATTCCATGCTAAAAAAATAAAGGATAAGAAACGGGTTTTACTTTACTACTGGTGTTTCGTCGATGATTGTTAGTCGGGGAATCTTCTATTTTTGAAAAATATACAAGTAATATAACCCAAATAATTTTAGAAGGTATTTTTCGTTGATTTTCGTTTCTGTGAATGATTTTTTCGAGTAAAAGAAAATAAAGTAAAAAATGAAGATAATATTTACCTTAGTCTCGTCGGAATTTGGGAACCGTTGCTTGCACCGGCTCGTCGGGATATTTGGTTGCCATGGTCAGACGCTGTGGGGAGCAAATATAAGAAGAGAAAAGGAAAAGTGCATTTTGATTCTTTGTTTCGCGTAGCTACTGGAAAATGGAAATGATAAAGGGTGGGTTTTTAAGTTTTGGTTAAACCACATGTTAACTCCTTATTTCACAGCTTTTTGTGTTTTGGTCGCTAATTTTGGTTTGATCCTATTTAGATCTCTTTCTTTCCCACATGTTACGTTTAAGCCATTAAATTTAGGGTCAAATCACCCCTACGTCCTCCGAGTCTAACTGAGTTTTCACCTTATGGTCACGAGTTGCACTTATTTTTATTTTGGCCCTCTATTTTACTTTTATTTTAATTTAGTCTTTTCTTTTTTTTCTTTCACGGTTTTAGTTTGGAATATTTTTATTTATCTTTTTTGTATTATTTTATTCTTATTTTTATTTTTAACCATTTTTTTATTTTATTCATTTGACTTTCTTTTACCATTTTATTATTTTATTGTTTCTGTTTATTTTATTTTTTACTAACTTTTAATTTTCTATGTTACCTATTTTATCTTAGAATTTTTCCCTCATATTCATTTATTTTTTTTAATCTAACATTTTTGACTTTTTTAAGGTCAATCAATCAAAGGCAAGTAGTTTGAATCGAGTTTAATTTAAAATTTTAATTTTAATTTCGAATTTTCGCAACTAAGACAACCGTCAAATTAATTGGTACCGAAAGGGCGGTTAAAGGGTGCTAATCCTTCCTTGACCGTAACCGACTCCCGAACCCGACATATTTCTGGTAAGACGCAGATCAGGTAAGAAATAAGGTATCCGATCAACCCACTTTTCGTAAAGTAAATGATCGGTGGCGACTCCAATCCACTTTTTCCTAAGTCGAAGCCCAATTCCGGGGCCGAACCGAAGGACGGTTCGACACAAGCCAAGCATGAAAACAAGGACCCTTGGGGAGAGTTAAACAACAGTAAACAATGAGTTTTAAAAATATAATGTAAAAATAAAATAAAATAAAAATAAAATCAGGTATCGAATTGTCGGGTACTCGATTATTTTCATTATAAATACTGGATAATTATCAATTGGGTCAACGGATCAAATCATGTAATTTGAATCGTGTATTTTTGTGCACTCATAATTCTAAGCTAACCAAATAAATGTGGTAGGATATGGATACAACATTTTATGTTAGAGAGATGACCTTATAAAATTTTAGAAGAGAGTTTGAAAATCCCGCCCCTCGATTCATCCCAAAATGTAGTAATTTGAAATTAGCTTAAAACACAATACTTTTTAAATTTAATAAGTTTAATTAAATATTCATAATCCTTTACAGTTAACTTCAAAGATTCAAATAATTAATGTTGATTTAGATAATTAACTTTTAATTATCTATATCTATTTTGAATTCTTAAAAAATAAATTGGATATTTAAATCTTAATTCGATATATAATGGCTAAATGAAATTTGAAGGGATAGTAACACCTCACACATGGAGTGGTTCCCTTTCATTAGTTCATCCCACTAGAACAGAATAATAAAATTCTGTGAAAGCCAAATTCCATGGAAAATGTCAACTGATGTAAAGCAACAAACTGTTGTTCTACGTTAAACAGTCCCCACCATGAAAGCGACAGAAACTGTAGAGGAGGAACTTACACACAATGTCAAATCAAATTTCATAAGCATTCACACATGGAGAATTGAAGCTTATCCACCTCCAAGAACCCCAAAGAAAACCAAGTTTACATATCCACAAGACCACAACACCGTCACCAATACATTTGGACTGTAATGCCATCCATGGGGTTATTATTGCTTATTTTACATATGTATATCAGTAACTCAGTAAGCCCAAGACCACAAGGCATGATCATCAACAGGGAACCCAAAACTGCGGGAGCTTGCAGGTGGGTCGGAGTAATCATCGTCGTGTTCATGTTTAGGGAAGACGTATGAAGGAAGATGTAACATGTTCTTGCTCAAGTCATCTTCCTCGTCTTGCGATGAATCAAACTCTTCGCCCTCGGAACGCTTCTCTTCCCCTTTCATAGATAACTTATCTGTGAGCTCGAGAACCTGAAATGCAGACATGAAAAAGTTAACACGGCAGACAACTTCAACAGTTGAAAAATATATAGAAATGACCTCTTGTTTTAGTTTATCTTTCTCCTTGAGGAGATTGTCGTAGTCGGCCTTGAGGATAGTATAGCTGGCTTGCAAACCGTTGTAGTCTTTCTCTAGCTGCTTTGTCTTCCATCGAGCCCGGCGATTCTGGAACCATATAGCAACTTGCCGTGATTGCAGGCGGAGGTCTTTAGCTAGCTGAATTTTCCTTTCGGGTTCGAGCTTGTTCTCGGCCTCGAAACTTTTCTCCAGAGACTGGACTTGCTCGACGGTAAGCCGTCTCTTCTTTTCAGGTCGATGTAAATATTCATCTATGTTCTCGTCTTCATTATCTTCTTCTTCAAACGTCCTGAAAAATGATCTGTTCCGATCAACACCTTCGAAGCTTACCATCGATCTTGTACCTGGAATTGAAGCAAGTAAGGTTTTTTTTTACAGAATTCAGATCACAAAGTGAGAGAAAAAAACCTAAAATATGGAGAGAATACCGATAAAAGACGACGGACAAGAGCCTGGAATGTGTGGGAACAACGGCTCAGAAGAGGAAGGAACCCTTTGACTTTGAAGCAAAACAGAGATATTATTAGAATCAGCAACAGTACTAGTATTACTATGATAGATCCTCCTACCCGCCATGAAAATTTTCAAGCCAAAGGATCAATCTTCTTTCTTTTTTTTCCTTTCAAGATATCATCATCAGAAGATCTTAAACTTTGAGGACAAAAAGAAGAAAAGAAAATGAAATTCTTCACTTGTGACGGAAGAAGCTGGTTATGATGATTTCTGTGATATGGGAAGTGTGGGAACAACAGCAGCCCACGCCCATCGCCACTCAGAACAAGTCAAAATTTTCTTGATCTTTAGGCAGAAGGAAGTGATGCAAGAAAAGCTTGGGGGAAGATGAAGTAGCAAAGGGTTAAAATTAAATAAATAATAGAATAGGAGACAAGTTAGACGGGCTTATATTAAGACCAGCAGATTGGTTCTGTTGGGGTATGATGTGCTTAATTTTATCTTTGTTTAAAGTTCCTAAAATAGCTTTGGTGGTATCATTACTTAATTTGAGTATCTTACTTTTACGTAATTCCTTGACATTATTAAAACATTATATTTTATACCATCAAATTTTAAATTTGAAATATTTTACTTTCGAATTTATGGATTTTAGTGATTACAAAAATATTATTCCCTTTTAAAATTTTAAATTCAAATAATTACATTTACAAAATATGTGTTCGTGGTTTATAATTAAGAAAAATTATAAATATATATTATTTTATAATCACCTCATATTATTAAAAAATATTCATTTCAAGTAATTCCTTGACATTATTAAAACATACATATTTCAGACTATTAAACTAAGGATAGTAATTTAATTCGAAATCGATAGATTTCGATTCAATCCAATAGAGTATGAATTTTTAATTATAAAAAATTCAGGTTCAGATCAGGTCAGATTAGACTTTATAAATGAGTGAGGTTGAGTCGAGTTCTATTGAAGAGTGAAAAAACTTCGAACTCGCCAACCGAGGATAATAATATAATTCCTTAAAATAAATTTATGGATGTGTTATAATAACCCTCTCTCTATTATTTTTTATTAAATCTTTATTTTATATCGGATTGGGTCGGATTTAAAACTCTAAAAATTCGAGTGGGTTCAAAGTCGGAGGAAAGATATATGTTTTTCGTATTGAGTAGAATTAGGTGAAAGGATACATTTTCCGGATTAAGTCAAATTTACGTCAGACTGACAAAAAAAAATCTAACCTAACTAACCAGACCCGTGGTCATCCCATGTTAAACTTTTGAATTTGACTTTACGTGTTGTTTTTGTTGATGTTGGTAATTATGGCCCATAGTCTTTACTCCAACTTCTGGCCCTAATAGCATGGTGAATAGTCTAACCAAGCAGGCTCTTCGAACTTTTGGACCCATAGGTTGAACCTTTAAAATCATTTTTTATTAATATAAAGTAAATGCAAAGGAGTATCTGTTAAACCTTTAAAATCAAGTTGGATTTAAAATAAAAGTTGAATGTTATTTTACCAAAAAATATTTACTTTTAAAAAATATTATACATCAGTTAAGTATTAATGTCATCCGCACAAACTAAACGACATTGACAGTAAATAATTGTTGTTATTTTTTAATTGAGTTCGAGCATCATAAATAATTGAATATTAAAGGTATAAGCATTTAATATCAAATAATTAAAAGTTATGTTTAAACAAATATTACGTTGTACATATCACATATTAATACAATACAAAAGAATATTAATATTACTATTATTAGAATTAGAATTTTAATATTCAATTTATTTACCGATATACCCTCACAATCCTAAGTTTGAGTCGAAAGATTTATATGTTCATAGATAGTAAGTGTATGAGTTAAATAAGTTTTTTCTTAAATATAAAAATTAAATAAATATTATTTTATCTATATAAAATTTATATGGTTTACGATTTTTTAAGTAATATTAAAAAAAATAAAATTTTTGATTTTTTTTAATAGTATGGAGAGATTACAAGATAAAATATAAAGTATACATACCTTACAGACTCAAATATTCAAAAAATTTTATAAAAAAATAATATTTTATTTGACCACTAAAATTGCTTCAATGTGTTCTAAGATTCAAACTTAAACTTATACGTTGCATTTAAAAAACGGAATATTTTGAAGAATGTTATGGCACCGTTAAACTGGGTAAACTGCAGTATTTTTATTTTTGTCACCTTACTATAAAAACTTTGAATTTCATCACTAACGGTTTTTTATTAGGTTCTATTTTGTCACTGTCCATTAAATCATTAAAGTAAACGATGATGTAAATTTTTTAAAATAGTAAAATAACACATTTTTCCTTAATTATTATGCATTCTATCAATATGATATTAACTCTATATAATTCAATAAATTTAACTTTCCATATTTAAGAATTCTATCAATTTGATCCTCAAACACTTAATAGCATATCAAAATTATAAATAAATGATATTCAAAACCCTTGGAAAGGATGAGATAGTGTTCATAGTTACTAAATTTATAAAATATTTATTGAATTATTCAGAATTAAGACCAACTTGATAAATATATAAGTATTGAGGACTAAATATATTATTTAACCAATTTAAAAATCCCATATTGATATTAACATTTATGTTATAAAGAGGGTGATCAAAACAGAAACAATCAAAAACATCAGTGACAAAATAGAATATTTTTATAGCTTAATGACCAAAATTGAAGCACATTAATAATTGAGTGACAAATGGTGTGGTTTACCCATGTTAAACTTATTAGACGATAGATATAGGATTCAATATCATTTTGGGTATCTTTATCGAGCAGTAATTACATCAACGTTGTTTTTGGTATTTTTATTTTTGTATATCTAAGATTTTTATGCTATTTTATTTAATATTTTATTTAATTTCTATAATATATTTTTTTTATTATCGACGTTATATCTTCAATTGATGTTTATTTAATTATCTCATTGAAGTATCTTTAATTTGGACTATTAAATCAGTTCTCTCCTGATAAATTGTTAATAGATACTTTCATTATTCGATTGTTAACTTGTGCTTTTCTTTTTTATATATTTAGAAAAAATTGATTGGTTAATATAATTAGTATACTTTATTTTTATAAGAATATTTATTTAAGACTACGATATTATTGTATTTTCTCTTCATTTAATCAATAAAATTAATTATTATTATTTATTTAAAAGTAATTAAAACAAAAATAAATTACACTATCAGTGTATAAAATAATTAATTATAAATTTATTAAATTGTAAAATTACTAAATCTGAAACCAAAGAACTTTAATGATATTGGCTGTCCGAAAACTTGAGCGTGTGAAGATTCAAGATTAAATATACTCTTCGTTGATGAGACAAAACAATGATATCTCAGGTACGACGCCCTTAATATACGGTTAAAGAAAGATGTTATCGAAAATATTAATATTTTTTAACATTTATAATAAAATACTACCTAAAACATTATTTTTTTCTACCGAAAATGTTAATATCAGGCGCAACCTAAAATGTTTAACATTTTCGGTAAAAGGCTACCTAAAACATTATTTTTTCTACAGAAAATGTTAATATTGGTGTAGACACCCATTTTTGTCCGGATTAAAAAAATATTATTAAATATTATTATTATTATTATTATTTTTTAAAACCACTACCATCCTCACCCACTTCCACTTAAACAAATCCTCCACAAACTCCACCCATACATACCACTATCCACCCAATCATCAACTAAATATTAAATATATACCCCACTATACCCACTAAAACTACATTATTCTCAACTCAAAAAGACCCATAAAATGACATGCAATCACCATTTGGTAGGAAGGAGCAAAACGTGAGGAACATACCAAGAAGCCATACGTGGAGAGGAGAAGAAAAGAAAAAAAATAGAAAACAACACTTCTTGTAATATGTCGGATTCTCGCCGGTGATTGGGATCTTTGATCAACATTTCGAACAGTCAAAAGTTGCGCAAGGCCAGCACGAACAACATACTGAAAATTTAGGATGATCGGACGGTGGACGGTGGACGGCGGTGGATCGGAAAAAACAAATCCGGACGGTTTTTGGCCTCTTTCCAACGATCGGGATTTCCGATCAACATTCCTAATACTGAAAAGTTGCGCGAGATCAACACGAACAACGTACTGAAAAATCAAGACGATCGAACGATGGACAGAGGCAGATCGGAGAAACTTAAACCGAACAGTTTTTGGCCCTTTTACAACGAACAGAGTCGATTCATACAAAACCGACTCTAGATCCAAGATGAGGAGGCCAAGAAGGAATTCCCGGCGAAATTTGGTGACCACCGGTGATGGCGGCGGCGTGGCGGCACGATGGCGGCGCAACGGTACGGCGACGGTGGCCGGCGAATCATTATTGATCCATGTTATGTAGTTTTGGTATAATTTTTTGTTTAATCCCTGAACTTTTATGTTTATTTTTTATTCCAACATATGAATATATATGTTTTCCTGATTTTGATACTTTAGTTTCTGTTATTTTATTTTAGTCACTTAAATTTCTATTTATGCTATTTATGTCCTTTAAATTTCTATTTTAACTGTTTTAGTCTTTTAAGTTTATGTTCTTACCATATTTAATCATTTAAGTTCATGTTTTTGCTAGATCTATTATTCAAATAAATAGTTTATTTAATTAATTAATTTGAAGCAAGTTATTAATATTTAATAAATGGATCATATTTTAACTTGATATTTGATTCAAGATTTCCACCATTACGACAACGTGTAAGCGAAACAATACCAATTTTGGGCGCTGTGGGGGTGCTAATCCTTCCCCATGTGTAACCGACTCCCGAACCCGTTTTAATCGAATCTTTGGTAAACGCAGACCAACTTTTGTCTTAAAAATCAATTTTTCTTAAAATTGTTTTTAAAAGACGTTTTTAAGTATTCAACCTACTTAACTCAAAGGTTAATGGCGACTTTATCCAATTTTATCCAATTTAATTCAAAATCACGCATTTTCCAAAATTAAAAGTCGTAACTATTTTTAAAACAATATTTAATCGTTCCCACCTAAAAACAGTTATGCCAGCTTGGCGACTCTGCTGGGGACTTTTTTAGAGAGTCAAGCTGTAAGTCGCTTACACATTATCGTTTGATGGAAATTATGAGTTGAGTATTTAGTTAACTTATGATCCTTTTATTGAAGTTTGTAATTGCTTCATTTTTTTGTTATACTAACATTTTGATATTTTGATTTCAGATATGTCCAAGTTTTTATCAAGTGATTTTGTTTTCCTTTTAAGTCAAAAGGTTGAATGTTCCTCCTCACACACATCACAGACATTTG